AGGTCTAATTTTCAATTTCCAATGAATAAAGGTGATGATGGTAATGCTGATGATGATTCTGATGATGATGATGATGATTATGACATTAAAAACAGTTTTTAATATTTTTTCTTTATTTTGAATATAATGTGATATTCGTAAACGTCATTAACGAAGTTTTTCAGTATTCGATGCATAGAAATCACGTCTTTCTATTTTGCATTGAAATCATGTTTATTTATTTATTTTAGTTTTGACCAGTGTACATAATGACATGACATTTACATAGAATATAAAAGTGTACAAAGATACGTATTTTTGACATACATTTAAAATAAAAATCACACATCATCTTCAAAATAACCGGGTTTATAGGAACGCGTTTTTTTTTACACTATGTATGATACAATCATTATTTATCTTACACACATATATATGTACATTAGTACTTTTTCTTATATACCAATACGTCAGGTTATTCGAAAGCATCTTAGATCAATAATCATTAAAGTCGCTAACAATTCGTCTGCTAATTACCGATAACAAACGGTATCGCTGAGATCTTGTGTTTTGGCAAAGCAAGAGTTCTGAAGATATCTCATATTGCAGAGAAATATATATACAATGCATTCACAGCTATTTCTTCTCCATTTGTCCGTATTAGTTTCTACACATATATGACTGATACGCGGCGTATGGAAACCGTTTTTTTTCTCACAAGTTTCATAGATTACTTTTAACGTAAACTGTGAAATATTCACTATTTTGCAGGGAAAATGTAAACTTTAAGATCAATAAATGCTTTTATAGATTGCTCTGTCCGTTTGTTTGTTAAAATAAATATAATTTACATGCGTGTCGCACAAATCAAATATAATCTCTTTTTTTCATAATTTCAATAATCAAGTTTGACTTTATTTGTTAAGATATTTTTTATGAAACATATACCATATTGTTTAACATATGTACTTTAAGATAAATGAATGTATTATTAGATATTTCTGTCCGTTTATCCATGCTAGTGTCAACAATTACATTAATAATTGGAAAAAACGCGCGCTGCAAATAAAAACGCTTTTCATGATGTTTTATTCTTACGCAGGACGTTATTTACAAAGGCATAAGTTATTCAATATATATTGTAGAGACGAATGTATACGTCAAGATACTGAAATACATCTTAAAAACAACTCTGCCAGTTTGTCTGCTATAATACACATATTTCAGGAAAAGTCGGACAATGCATATAAAATCGGTGGTATTTCATTCTTTTTATTATCAAGTTTGCCATTATTTATTAAGCTATCGTCATGAAACATATACCATATTGTAGGGACATCTGAAAAATTAAAGTCAACTAAAGGAAACACTAATATATTTGTCCGTTTAAGCGTGATATTGTCCAGAAATACATTCATAACGAGGGGGGGGGGGGGGGGGGTTACTCGCGCGGCTTAATAAAGAAAAACAGTGTTTTTCTTGATATTCAATTCTTACAAAGGACGTTAGTAACTATGTTTCTGTTGCGGAAACAACTCTGTCCGTTTGCCTGCTAAAATAGCCCCACTAACATACATAAATTCTAGAAAAGTCGGACAATTCAGACAAATCCGTGTATTTCATAATTTTCAATAACCAAGTTTGACTTTATTTGTTAAGATGTCTTTTTGAAACACATTCCATATTGTAGGGACACATGTATTCTGTAAGATGAATAAACGCGATTGTAAATATATTTGTCCATTGTTCTATGCTATAACTCAGAAATGCAGGGATTATTCGGACAATACAAGCAAATCGGTGTTTTCATAATTTTTAATTTTTATGTGTTGATTTATTGAGAAAAGTATCTTCATTAAACATAAATCCTATTGTAGGGAAACATACGGCGTATAAACATTACGATAACTGAATGCATTCCTATATATATCTGTCCGTTTTTCTATGATAGTGAATAGAAATACATTGTTAAAAAAACAAAAATAATTATAATTTTATAATTTGTTCATAAATATTAATTGATTTTTTGAGATATTGATAGAATATAAATATTATAAAAGAAGCTCCGCACACATTTGTTCATAAGAATGGAATAATAACAACAACCACAACAACAATAATAATAATAATAATAATAATAATGATAATAATAATAATAATAATAATAAAGTAATAATAATAGGAATAATCATCGTCATCATCACCATCCCTGTCACAACATCACTACCACCATCAATAATAATAATAATAATAATAATAATAATAATAATAATAATAATAATAATAATAATAATAATAATAATAATAATAATAATAATAATAATAATAATAATAATAATAATAATTATCATTATATATGATAATAATAATAATAATAATGATGATGATGATGATGATGATGATGATGATGATGATGATGATGATGATAATAATAATAATAATAATAATAATAATAATAATAATAATAATAATAATAATTATAATTATAATGTAATAATAATCATAAGAATCATAACATAGTTATAATAATAGTAACAATAATAGAAATTAAAATTATGATTAAAAACAATAATAAATAATAAAAACATATATATTAATAAAAATAAAAATAACAATAATAATTATTATTAATTAATAATAAAAAAAAAATAATAATAATAACAATCGTTAATAATAGAAAATATATATTTATAATAATTATTAATAATATATAATAATAATAATAATAATAATAATAATAATAATAATAATAATAATAATAATATAATAATTAATTATAATAATTGTAATCATAATAATCATAATTATAATAATTGTAATACTAAAAATAAAAATAATCAATATAATAGTAATTATAATAATAATAATAATAATTATTATAATGATAATAATCATTATAATAATATTAATGAATAAAAGTAATGATTATATAAATTATAATCGCATCATGGAATTTTATTCTTCTTCCTTGTTTTCATTATTATTTTTATTATTATTATTAATATCTATTATTATTATTATTATTATTATTATTATAATTATTATAATATTACTATTATTATTATTTATCATCATAGTTATTAATAATTCGTAATCTCTAATTAAAAGAAAATCAAATGTATAACTGTAAAATAATTTGAAAATGAATCATTTGATGAAAATCCAGTTGGATTTTTTTTCCAATAACTTTTATTGGAAAAAAATCCAGTTGGAATTTTTTCCAACAAAAATAATTGGAAATAAATCCAATCGGATTTTCATTTTTTTCAAAGCACCTTATTGGTAATTCAGCGTGTATAATTATGTTAATTTCTATCGAAAACTATCATTTGCCTTTAATTATTATCGCTTTTATGCTTTTTTAAATTTTTCTGTAAAAATCCAGTCGGAATTTTTTCCAGCTTTCAAAATGGGATTTTTTTATTTTAGAGAATAAGTTCTTCAAAACTAGTCAGAAAGTCATTAAAGGATGTATGAATGGTTATTTTCATAGTTTAAGCATTGCTGGAAAAATTGAAATTCCCGTTGGAATAAATAATAATGTTGGAAAAAATTCCAATTGGAATATAAGTAAATTCCGGCCGGACAGCATAATTCCGGGCGGAATACATGAATTTCCGCCCGGAATTTTTTTTTAAAATACAATTTTTGATAAGAAAAAAATTTAAAATAGTTTCAAATGAAGTCAATTATTTATAATTAACATTAAATCTATCAGATGAAATGATTTTTAAGTGTTTAGGGCAATTATAAATGGTAGTGAAGTTTGCCACTATCCCGGTGGTGCAAAGATTTTCCGGTGGCTGTTAAATTCAAAACATAAGCTTAAATGATGGTCAGTACAGTTGTATGTAACTTAATCCGCCACTAGAATTTTATACTTCAAACAAATCCAAATACAGCATGTTACTGTAGAGGGAAGTAAGATATCTATTAAACAGCTTCTATACAAAGCAATGGGTGTATGAAAAATCTCTCTAACAAAATCATTTTAACAGTTCTTAAGAAATCTGTTCAGTAGAAAAGCAAAGTAAAGTATGACAGCTTGACAACAAACAAATTGTCTTCTATGTTCTACCCGTAAATGTCTGTATATGAAGTGACTCTTTTTTATAAGTAAAAGTGCATCATAGTGTCAGATATCCTGGTTCAAGACTTTTTTCCTTTATCATTTAAGCTCTAAAAATGGAATGTTACACAAAAGCACAGTAGTAAAGTAAAATGCCACCTTACAACCACACAAATTATAACCATTAAAGACCTTTTTACAACACAGCCCGTTCCTATGTAAAATCGATCGGAAGTAGCATTTTCACGCGCATGCGCAATCTGTGTAGGGCAAAAAAGAGCATCAGGCTACATAGAAATATAGTAGAAGTTGTGTTTTTGCCCTACACAGAATGCGCATAAGCAAAATGCAACATTCTATACTATGCAATAATAGGATTGTAAAAAGGTCTGTTTAGGGCAGTTTTCAAAATAACCAAACAATTTTCTCCATTACCTACTGACCACTAATAAGACTACACTGCAATTCTGGTATAGTAACCACCAGGGTCAACTATTCCATCATAAATCATCATCAAAATTAGGAAGTAAAGAAATCATTTCAAAGCAGAGTTTTATGTTAAATTTTGCTTTATTTGTATTCAAACTAAATATAAAATATAAAAAAAAAAACTTACGCCCTGACAAGTTTTCGTAGAGGTTTGATGAGAAACTCCTGGCCGAACCACATAAAGCAGAAGACAGCTATAACGTAACCCATACTAAACAGGTTAATGCGGGTAGTGCCGGCAATAAACACGATCGCTAAAGTCACCCAGAACATGTAACCAAAAACGAAATTCTTTATCACGTCCAGATATGACCTAAAAAATGTACAAAACTATTATAAGAGCACAAGTATCATTACAATGTTGTTTATAAATTAATAAATTTCATTTTTACACAAATATTTTTATATATGTTTTTACATTTAAAGTGAGTACAATAATATCACATAAGAAGTTAAAAACTTAAGCAAGTATTGCAGTAACTTCAAAGCATTAGTAGTTTTCTTTTATGTATAACAATCCAAACTATACTTGTCAATAAGTAAGTTGTTAATTTTCTCAAAAAACATCTTGTATAATTATACATTTTACCAATTATTAAGCCAGCACTAAGTCTTAAAATCTCACTCAGATTAATTCTTACATACGGTATACTATTTTGATAAATCTATATCTTCCTTTCAGATGCTACATACAACTATAAATCATGATTTTATTTATATACTACATTGTAAATGAATTATCTGTAACAAGAATATGAAACTTTTTATGAAAGAATGAACACTATAATCTAGTATTTAACAGTTTATATTAAACATGTTTCTATGTAATATTTTATGTAAGGGAATGAAGCTGGTATCTTATCCAAGGTGGTCATACCATGTGGTACATGACATCACTTATGACATCACAAGCAGAATTTTTTTGCCACCATTCAGGGAGGGGAGCAAAAGTTCTGTTATCATTCTATTTCAGCATCAATTTGAATGGCATACTGTGTATATAAATCAGAAAATAGTTTCCCATCCATAGATCTTCAACAGTCTTTAGTGAGATGGAAATAAAATTTGACCTAAACGTGTGATGAAAGAATCCAAACTCTGTGATGGGATTCAAACCCACAGGGTTGAAGTTGGCAACCTTAACCGTGAAAGTGGCACAGTGGCCTAACTTAGCATCATCTAAATTGCATAAAAATTGATGAAGAAATTGAACGTTTATAGCAATTTTATCTTCTGGATTTTAACTTTAACAAGAGCTGTCGGTAGGACAGCAACGCTCGACTATTCTTAGTGCTTGATAGTAAAAAAAATGCTTGATAGAGTTACGTCCTCCTGTTTACAGGTTGTGGTCATGATGGTGAACAAGTGTGCAAAGTTTCAAAGCCATATGTCAATGGACTTTGAAAATATTTGAACTATTACAAAAACTTTAACGTAAATTCTAAGTCGAAAAAGGGGCATAATTCTGTCAAAATGCTTGATAGAGTTACCTCCTCCTGTTTACAGGTTGGGGTCATGATGGTGAACAAGTGTGCAAAGTTTCAAAGCCATATGTCAATGGACTTTGAAAATATTTGAACTATTACAAAAACTTTAACGTAAATTCTAAGTCGAAAAAGGGGCATAATTCTGTCAAAATGCTTGATAGAGTTACCTCCTCCTGTTTACAGGTTGGGGTCATGATGGTGAACAAGTGAGCAAAGTTTCAAAGCCATATGTCAATGGACTTTGAAAATATTTGAACTATTACAAAAACTTTAACGTAAATTCTAAGTCGAAAAAGGGGCATTATTCTGTCAAAATGCTTGATAGAGTTACCTCCTCCTGTTAACAGGTTGGGGTCATGATGTTGAACAAGTGTGCAAAGTTTCAAAGCCATATGTCAATGGACTTTGAAAATATTTAAACTATTACAAAAACTTTAACGTAAATTCTAAGTCGAAAAAGGGGCATAATTCTGTCAAAATGCTTGATAGAGTTACCTCCTCCTGTCTACAGGTTGGGGTCATGATGGTGAACAAGTGTGCAAAGTTTCAAAGCCATATGTCTATGGACTTTGAAAATATTTGAACTATTACAAAAACTTTTACATAAGTGGTTACGCCGACGCCGACGCTCGGGTGACTGCAATAGCTCTACTTATTATCGAATAGTCGAGCTAAAAATGATGTCATACACCACGTGGTATGCCACCTTGTTATCAGGATGTGTCTTGTGTAAAGCAGTTAGGACAGGTGAATGATAAGATACAATGAATTCACAATTAACACAAACGAAATGATGATCACATTAACTACTGATGAAAAACTTCGCAACTAAAATGATCAACTGTACAGTAATGTAAAAAAAAAAATTATCAAGCAAGTATTTCATAAAATGTTACAGATTTAATAAAAATATTTATGTAAAAAGATTGAAATTAATATAATACAGTAATGCCTTTTAATTCTAACATTCTTTAATATCTAAAATATTTTTGGTTGACAACTTAGATCTAAATTTCTTCATTTGTTATCTAATTTTCTAATTGTTCATAGGAAACTTTCTATCAAAAAGTTTGGAAAAAAAACATAGATAATTAAATTTTTGTCAAAATATTGTCTTATTGTTGGAAAAAAAGAATTAAGATCAAAATATTTGAACACTTTAACTTAGATGACAAATGTAAATGGGTGATTTTCAGTTTGATGATAATTAATTTTATTTTCTGGGGGGGATAAAAAAGCCGTCTCATCTGGATTACTAGTGAGGATAGATTTGATCTGATAAAGCAGCCGGTGTGCATGGCAAGAATGAAACTAAAATTATACCTCCGTAACATTGGTCCATGCGCTCTAACATGTGAAGACAGAAATAACACAAAATAAAGAGAGAAAATAACAGAACAATAACAGAACAATTCAGAAGAATAAATTAAAAACAAAAAGTAAATTAAGTAAATAACTAGAAATAGTCACTGTTATTCACCTACCTCTTTAGTATATTAAACACACTAAATGGTAATTAATACAGCAAAAACTTAACAGGATATATCATTATATATTACAAGTACATGAAGTTTATCAGAATTTCAGACACAAATATTTTGATCTAGATATCTAGATAGCAAATTTCATATGGTTATATTGGAAAAAGTAACAACTTGCAGAGGGGATGTAGTTTTGGGTACAGACAGCCAAACATATTACCCCTACTATGTCTGTGAAATCATGAATGTTTGTGTAGTCTTAACCCTTTACATGCTGAATTTCTTAAATGGACTTGTCCCGTTTATTGATTGGAGCTACCTATTATTTTTTTAGGGAAACCAACATCTAAATTTAAAGTTAAATGTCAGCTACAAGTATAGAGCCTAGTCAGACTGTAGGGATGTACAGGTTGGCCTGTGATATAGACTAATCACTTTTGGTTCTAGAAAGTTAAAGGTTTCCAGGGTTAATGCTTAGTCATACAACAGATTGACAGTGTATTCAATATATGAAAACTTCCCTGGAAGTTCTATTTCATCATATATCAAAACTTTACTTCAACAAAGCCAATATTGTGATGCATTTTCTGTCTGTGAGGAAAAATAAACCAAACCATGTTCAATATGTTCTTGAATATTTGAATAATATTGTTATGAAATTAACAATAAATACAAAATTAATTTGAAAGCAACCCTGTATTTTAGATAAGCAATGCAAATTGGACATAAAATTATTAAGATGAAATAAAAACACATAATTTATATGTGTATATACAGATACATAGACACACAGACATAACATGTGTAGAGAAAACTTCTAACACAGAACTACACAAAAAAAAAATCAACAGAAGATGTTGATAATACAAGACTGCGGCAAAGTAAGCATTGATCAACTTTATATTAACATTATGTTTTGTATAATTAGAACTTGTGTACATTTTAGCATTTTTAATTTCTTAAACTGAAATTGTGACCTGAAGACACAACTTTCCTCTCTTCCCTTCATACTTTTATGGAGTAGTTTATAGAATGCCTTAATTTTAATCAAGTCATTGAAACGCCATAACTCCTTTGCTAGAGTTAAACAATTAAAGAAAAACCCATTGGCACAATGAACCAATCGTTCAAATAAACATCTGTGTAAGGTTCAAAAACATTGCTTTGTTTACTGAAGGAGTACTGTTTTGTTTACTGAAGGAGTATTAAAGGCCTCAACATATCTAGGGCTAAATGTTTAAGTGAATCTTTATCACCCACGGGGCCCATGTAGCGGTATTAAATGTCCTTGACAATGTTTGAAGGTGTTTCTAACTGTTTACATGGTCAGGTTGACAACAATTTTTACTGTTTACATGGTCAGGTTGGCAACAATATTTACTGTTTACATGGTCAGGTAGGCAACAATATTTACTGTATGTTGTTGCTATGTCAGATATTGTTTGTTTTAACCTCCCTTCTCGTTTAGTTTTGTCAATATACATGTAAAATAAAAACATAAAGACACATAACTTGCAAAGCATTGCAGTTCAAGCAAATAAAGATTTATAATTATAGTAAACAAGAAAGAGTAGAAGAAGTAAAAAAAAAAGCAAGTATGTGGTTCTACCTTAGACTACTACTCAATTTACTAGGAGAGGTAGCATAAACAAGTAGAATAAATATTGTAGATATATCATAACTTTAAAAAAACATTATTATCCTTAAATCAATTACTTTATCTCTTAACATTTATATATCTTAACAATGACTTTTGTTTCCTAAAATTTTAAGTCGCAAAAAAACAACAGAATTATTCTAACCAAAATGTATTGTAAAATAAGATATTTTTGTGAGGCAAAAATTTCGTGAAATCAATATTTAAGACACATGGTGAAACATTCGTGAATTTCTATTCTTCTAAAGATATATGATACTTATATTCTAAGATGACATTTATTTTCACGTAATTCTTCAATTTGCAAAATTAGCAAAATTTAAACCGTGAAACAAAATTTCTGATTATACAGTAGTGACTATTCAGGAAGAAAACAGAGATAGTTCAAAGATAGAAAATATTAAATACTCTCTGATTATAAGTTTCTTTCTTATTACACAAATATCTTTTTCCTATCATCAATATAAGTCTTATATTATTTAATATGGAAAGACTCGATTTTATAAACTTCCTGAAGAACTTACGATATTTTGGTGGTGAAATCGTCAACAGGAATCTCCATTTTAGCTTCCACTTCCGGGGTTATATCTTCATTGTTGCCACCATCTTTTTCATCTTCTTTCTGGCTCATTTCTTTCCTGAATACCCGCCATTGCAGACATACAAAGAGAAGCTGGAAGAAGTCGGCAATGAGTTTGTATGAGTTTGGAGGATTAAGATAGTCCGGGAGATAAAACCAGAGCTCTAGCTCCTCCCCTTGATTGTCATTTAACATCCAGAATCGACCATCCCACGGATATCCTATAGATAAAAGATTAAACTGTAGGATTTTCCTAATTCTATGTATAAGCAATTAAGCAAAATATCAATACAGAATTTGGTGAAGATATAACAGAGTATGTCTGTGGTCAAAGTAGCTCACTTAAAACCATTTGCCACTTACCACTGTGAGTTTGAATTTTGCTATGAACACTGAGTTTTTTTATTCGAGGAAATTATCTTAAGGTCTTATTGCTAAAATGTTATTAGGCTGTATTTGATAAAGGGACATTATTTGAGACCCTTGATGAAGAAATTTGCTAGATTGATTAATATCCTTGACTCTTCTGCAATTCTGGTTTTACCAAATTTACTTTGGCATATTAAAAACACAGATCAGAATGCTAATATGAGACATTCATATATTCCTTGTTGTCTCTAAATATCATTTTCTGTTAGAATGACAATGATAAGGGATCTGAACACTACTACAAGCCACAATGACATTTTCTAATCTGAATCCAGTTGATTAGAACAGGAAGCCTAATTTATGGTTTACTTAACACCTGAGATAGAATAAACAGTTTTATACTTAATCTTTAACAATAAATTCATCGATGAACACTTACTATAACAGAAGCCAAGAGGTAGACCGAGTGCTGAGAGGAACTGTACAGGAAGTAGTATTACAAGGAATATGGTGTATATCGGCCACAATCGAGCATTTGCCCGTCTGCTGAGCAGTAACAAGATACCAAGTAAGAGGGCATACAGAACAGACATGGCATCCACTCGTACACTTATTGCCACTGCTGTCATTATGTAACATACCTGTAAAATATTATACAAGAACATAATAAATTTTATATGCCTTTCAGAAAAATCAGTCAAGCAATCTTTGTCAAGTAATAAAGAACATTCAATGCTCCATTTTAAAAAAATATTTAACTTTCTAAATTCAATACTTTATTTTGTGACCATCTTTAAAATTAACAAAATATGTCAAATATTGATACACACTATCATCCTGGTTACACTCTAAACCAGTTTACATAATAAAGATTATCAGATATCATGCAAAAGAGAAATAAGTCACCATTGAATCTCTTTTGATAGAATGAAAATGAAATTAATCAATTTTCCAATCATTTAACATTTCACATTTACTGTTTAAATGAAAATATTTCAAAGATTTCACCACAACTGTGAATAAGAACAAATTTTTTCTAACCTCCAAGCCAAATTTATAGAAGAAATAGTTGAGAAAATATTTTAGACACTCCACAATGCCTTTATCTGCTTCATGCCTTGTGATATCAGAGAAGATGATGCCCGTCTTGGGTTTCTGGACGTCTGGATGACGGTAGTACTGACACTGATGATATACCACTATACGTTCAAACACCAGGATCAATAATATACCAATGTAGTTCTGTAAATAACATTTACTTCAAATTAGAAATAATCTTAATAAATGTATTATCCAATCTAATATACATAATACAGTAAACTCCGCTTATAACGAACTCACTGGGACATTCAAAACCTGTTCCTTATATCCGGAGTTCCTTGTAAGCATATAGCGAATTAGTTCGTTGTATCAGGAGTTTTTATAGCGAACAGATTTACATATAACGAACTGATTGTTTACCATTGTCCGCCATTTTTGAAGAGAATTTGATTAAGAAATAGAAATATTAGTCATTTATTTATATTTTAGACACACTACCCGAGAGCGTACTTTTTGGAATTCGAAAATCATTGCTATTTCAGTTTTCGTTTTACTCCTTATCTCAATTTCTCATAAAATATAATATTTTGTTTCTAAACTTTTTTCGTTTTCTTTCCATGATTGAGAATAAACAAGATTTTCGATTTTTCCTTCCTTTTATATTGAATATCTTCTATTATAATTTAAGGGTGACTTTGCAGTTTGCAATGGATCATGCTTGCAAGCATGCATGATTATGTTGAAAACCGATTATAAATTATTATAATTTATTTATTTGAGCAAAACTATTGAAGAAAATAAATAAATAACCGTTTTATCTTGGTGAAAAGAGCTCATGCTAAAAATATCCAAAATAGAAAATTATACAAATTCATTTGAATAGATGTATTGAAGTACATACAACGGTACATTCGCCCGAGTATTAATCCGTGAGTTGAAAATGCGGGATCTATTTACGGATAGCCAATATTTTGGAGTTCGTTATAAAAGTGTAATTTTCTGTACTATTAACTAAATTAGGACTAAGAAATGAGTTCCTTATAAGCGATAATTCCTTATAACCGTGTTCGCTATAACCATATATTTTTATATTAAATTAAGAAGGCCAAAATTCGGGCCAAAATAAATTGTTCCCTATAACCGGAAGTTCGCTATAACCGTGTTCGCTATAAGTGAAGTTTACTGTAAAAAGATGTAGCTCTGAAAACATACATTTCATATATCTAATAATATAATTTTTACACTAGAATTAACAAGACATGTATTTCAATATAATTCTGAAAACAAAATATTTCACATTTATAGTATTCCTGGAGAACTATGCAGTAAGTACCAATTACTCTGCAAGTAAATGACTACTTATCCTATATGATATCTGAATCAATGACATGAGATAAATGACCATTACATTCTATGTCAGAGATCTGTCACAAAAAAAATATTACCTCACACAAGGACCAACCCCTGGCTTACAAATCCAATGCTCTAAATATAGTTTTTGAAATTGCTTTCAGGTAAGAAATATTGCTACAAATGCATCAGTAAAATTCAAAATACATGTATATACTGTATTAATATAGTCATGAAAATATGTATTAAATCAGAAATAGTCCTAAACTGCCATCAGCAATAATACAAACTTATTTCTTAAAATGTTATGGTCATGCCTATAAAATAACATCAGTTTTTGTTAAATTTTACAATAAATACAAGAACTTACCCTAAGATAGTATGAAACATCTGATGTTTTCATCATGCCAGCCCAGTGAGCATTATCTATCTCTCCTTTAAATGGTGCCTCATTTGACATATTACCCTGAAATAAAACAAAACATTTATATCCATAGAAACAAAACATTTCTTTTCTGATTAATCCAAACCAGTGCAATTGTTACCCACTGACCTTTAACTTGGTTTTTCATACTACCAACCAATTGAACAATCTGGTATGTCTCAAAAATTATATAAAAAAAAAAAAAAATGTTGCAAATCATTTTAATAAGGACGATCATAATTTTACCGACTTTTCATTTATGCCCATAGATGTTGTTTACAATACTTTAGATCGTTTGTGCAAAGAAACATTTTGGATTCATAAGCTAAAAACTCATTTTCCAGAAGGAATGAACACAAAGTTGTTATACTCAATTAAATAATTCATTAAATATCAATCCACGCTACAAATGCTAGAATTACGCCACATAGATATTCGTTTTTTCCTATTATCATTTTTTATAATTAAACCCTATAGGAAATATTCGTATTTATTAATCCGATATCTATTGTGTCGTTTTTATATTTTGATGCTTTGTTTGGTGCACTTATCTCTTTTATCATGAATTGGAATTGTTCGTATTTGTTCGTTTTTCCGCTAAAGTGGGCGTGACGTTTATTGTAAAATTACGACGTCACGTCCGTTGATATTATTATAGGGTTAACGCACGTTTTTCCGTGTTATAACGTCTGCAGAGTCCCGAGGAACGGTTGGTGCCCGAGCCCGGTAGGGCGAGGGCTCCAACAGTTCCGAGGGACTCTGCAGACTTTATAACACGAAATAAACGTGCGTTGACGCTATTATAGCATAAAATTTTAAACAGATTCACGATGTATATTATATATAAAACACAAACATTAAATCCTTGTGCTTGAACGGTTTTTATCCAACTCTACATGTTTTACGTATGCGTTTTATTTTTTCCGGGGCCAACAACTTGAGAACCGAACGAAATTTCGAATTTTAATTGATTTAACAAAGTTTAACTTTGGAGATATATTAACTTAAGAAAAGCATAACATAACTCTACCCAAGACAAAACAGGCGCCTCAGAAATTCCTAGAATGATAACAGATTGGCGGTAGGAAAAAGATTGGTGACATCAGATTCAATTTCAGAATCGGTTTTTTTTAAGCACGCAAGTTAAAAAAAAATCAGGCATAAATCATTATTCTCTCAAAGAAACATACAGAACATTTATCAATATAAACATCAATAAAACAACGTTTTCTTATATTCATTTTGTGCTTTCCATTTTTGTAAGTTAATCGGGGATTAACTGAATGACAGATTCTATTTGTTTTACATTGACAACTGTCCGTTTCTAAGAAAGGGCGACAACCAAGATAAAGCGGCGATGTCTATACGCCGTATTGCCGGCATAATTACTTGAATGCTGCTCGCCGTTATGCGACTGGGGCCCTCGAATTAATAATTCCAATAAAACAAAAGAGCATGACTCTGGCAAACAGGCCAAATCGTCATTTTTGTTTGTTTACTGGGCCCTGTATGTATTGCGCATAGGTAAAACCGGGCTATAACAAGAGCGCGTGACTATGTTAACGCATGGTTTTGGCCCCGTTATAACATGGGCAAAAGAGGGAAAAATAGCCGATTTTATGCTATAATATTATTTATTTACCTTGAAAAAGGCATACATTTGCCGAAACGTTGGAAAAATAAAAAAATGATATTATACGTGTTATTGCTGTGACTTTATTATTTTATTATTTCAAAAATTATATGAAAGATACAAATTGGTTAAGAAAGAAGTATAAATAAGGAATTTCCTTAAATCTGGCACAATGAGCAAGTTTCAGTAGCACTTGTTTATAAATGCTGACTCTAAATAGTTTGTCCAAATAGCAGATCATTGAACTATATGTGCTCAGGTGAGCTAAAAAATAAAATTTCAAAAAGATGTAACTGATAAAGTAAATTTGTTTGAATATGATATGAGAGTATACATTATACATACAGCAGTACAGTTAGACAGCCATCTACTGTTATCCACCAGTCCAAGTTGGTAGATCATCTTAGCTAGTAGTACAAGAGCTGTCCAGAACTGAGCTAGATGTGACAGCAGAAACTGACAGCCTGTCAGTGGCAGGAATATGCTTAATAAAATCACATACACAGCACTAACAGCTGATACCTGGAAAAACAAAATACATTATTAATTATACATGTTTTCTAATAAAGACATTCTGGTTTTCCATCTTTTTATCTTGTTCTTTGTATTTACATGTATAGCGGACAGTCAAAAATTTATTAGGAAAATGATAAGGATACATGTATATGGTAAAATTAAATCCGGTTCTGTATTTCAAATATCATTGATGAAATATTCAAAAATTAGTCAAATAAAATTACTGTAAACTGTCATATAATTTCCCTATGATGAAAATTTGTGCCAATGTTGACTTTGATGTTTGTAGTGCAAAAACTATGGATTTTTTGTTCTGTGTGAAAAAGATGATTTTAACAGACATTAAAAACCATTAACAATTTAACCATAACTATAATATTTTGAAGTTCATCTTGTGCTAATTATTTCTAAAACAACACACAAAACAAACCTCATGTGTTGTCGCCATGATGATAACAAAGGCTACAACTTTGAATACATGTATTTCTGCCAGTCTCCATAGAAACCTGGTCAATGTCTCCCAAAAGTCAGTGGTATAACGCCAACACTTTCGAAATTGCTCATTAAACTTTTTCCCCATTGCTGTAAAAAGTTAATCAACAACATTATGCATCATTTTTACATCAGACCCTATTTCTGCTTGGCAAAGAAGAAACATGGCTTAGCAGAATATATGGCTTATGAAAGTTAGTGCCACATTTCAACCAAGATGTCCCTTATAAACTTGCATATTGGAAGATTTTTCATTATTTATCTATCAATATTTAACAAAAACATGTTATGATTTACGTTTTATGAGACACAAAAAAAAACAAGAGGGCCATGATGGCCCTGAAGTCGCTCACCTGTATATAGGTCCCAGGAGCGGGCAGGTTTAAACCCCCGGGCTTTTATTTGAACAAACTTGGTAGACACCCATTAGAAGATGTTTCATGCTAAACATCTGAGGTCTAGCTCGTTGGGTTTTTTAAAAGAAGATTTTTTCAAGTTTTTTCTTTACACATATAGTTAAAAACAATGACACACCTGGGGCAAAGCCAGTTTTGACCCCAGGGATTTTATTTGAACAATCTTTGTAGACACTAACTAGAAAATGTTTCAAGCTTAATATCTAAACTCTAGCTATTCGGGTTTTTTCAAAGAAGATTTTTAAGTTTTTGCTATACACATATAAGGAAAATCAATGTCCCCCGGGGCGGGGCCAATTTTGACCCCAGGGCTTTTATTTGAACAAACTTTGTTGACACTCACTAGAAGATGTTTCATGCTTAGTATCTAAACTCTAGCTATTTGTTTTTTTTTTTCAAAAAAGATTTTTTAAGTTTTTGCTATACACATAAAAGGAAAATCAATAACCCCCGGGGTGGGGCCAATTTTGACCCCAGAGCACTTATTTGAACAAACTTGGTAGAACTTCATTAGAAGATGTTTCATGCTAAATATTTTTGCTCTAGCTCTTTGGGTTCTTTAAAAGAAGATTTTTATAAGTTTATACTATATGTATATAGGGAAAATCAATGACCCCCTGGGGCGGGGCCAATTTTGACACCAGGGCTTTTATTTGAACAAACTTGGTAGACATCCATTAGAAGATGTTTCATGCTAAATATCTTAGCTCTAGCTCTTTGGGTTCTTTAAAAGAAGAATTTTTAAGTTTTTACTATATGCATATAGGGAAATCAATGACCCCCTGGGGCGGGGCCAATTTTGACCCAAGGGTTTTTATTTGAACAAACTTGGTAGACACTCACTAGAAGATGTTTCATGCCAAATATCTAAGCTCTAGCTCTTGGCTTTTTAAAAGAAGATATTTAAAGTTTTTTTCTTTTGGTTGCCATAACAACCAGAGTTCTGCATGGAATTAAATTCTTTGA